ATGCTGTTTTGATTCCCGAACGTCATGCAACAACCCGAAGGCTTGTTGAACATCCGGCTGTGTCTCCTAATGGGCAGAGCCTGCGAAACCCTAAACCCTAAACCCTAAAACCCCAAACCCTTAAACCCCTAAGCCCCCAAACCCCCCCAAGCCCCTAAACCCTAAACCCTTAAAGCCCTAAACCCTTAAACCCCCAAGCCCCTAAAACCTAAACCCTGAAACCCCTAAGCCCCTAAACCCCTAAACCCCCCAAAACCCCCTAAACCCTTCAACCCCCTAAACCCCTAAGCCCCTAAACCCTTAAAGCCCTAAACCCTTAAACCCCTCAGCCCCTAAACCCTTAAACCCTGAAGCCCCTAAGCCCTTAAGCCCCTAAGCCCCCAAACCCCCCCCAACCCCCTGAATCTGAACCCTAAACCCCCAAAAACCTAATCCCCTAAATCCCTAAACTCTAAGCCCCAAAGCCAACCCCGGAGCCAGGTACGAACCGCTTTCTTGGGCCTTCGTCGAGGAACTTCCGAGCGAGACCTTCTGGAGATCCTCGGGCTGCTCTGGGGTTCTCAGGGCCTTTTTTGGGGGGTTTAGGGCCTTTTTTGGGGTTTAGGGTTTAGGGTTTTTTTTGGTTTTGGTGTTGGGTGCTTTGGGGTTTAGGTTGGTTTATTAGGGCTTAGGGGTTTGAGGTTTGGGGTTTTAGGGCCTTTTTGGGGATTTACTTACTTCCCCAATACCCAACCTTTAAACTTCTGGGGTTCTTATAATTTAGTAGTAATCTCAAAGTTTAACCTTTTATTTCCCTGGCTTATCGGGGAAGTATGTTTAGGGTTTAGGGTTCAGGGTTTGGTTTTGTTGTTTTTGGTTTTGGGTGCTTTGGGGTTAGGTTGGTTTAGGGCTTTGGGGTTTGAGGTTTAGGGCCTTTGTGGTTTTGGAGTTGTGGGGTTGGTTTTGGGTTTCGGGTCTTTCTAAACCCGATGTAAGCCTACCCTGTTCTGGGTTCCTTAATCTGATTTCTGTATATGAGTCCTTAAAGAGGTAGGTTCTTTGGGGTCAAGGTAGGGTGTCGGTGTAGGTCTGTTGTTGGTTTTGGTGTGTTGGGGTTGGTTTTGGGTTTAGGGTTTAGGGTTTAGGGTTTAGGGTTTAGGGTTTAGGGGTGACTGGGTGTTGGTTTTTGGTGGTTTGGGCTGTTCTGGTTGTTTTCGGGCTCGCAAAGGGTGTCATCGGTGGTTGCCGGAGCCCTGATCCTGTAACCCTAAATCCCCCGAAGCTAGAAGCCCTAGGCCCCAAAACCCTAAACCCTAAAGAACCACCATCAGTCACCACCCTCATCACCACCACCCTCATCGTCAACATCATCATCATCATCATCATCATCGTCAACATCATCATCATCATCATCATCACCATCATCATCATCATCATCATCATGGGGCTCATTTCTCGTGAGCCTAAACCCTAAACCCTAAACCCTGAACCCTTACAGCTTGCGGTTCTGGAAGGAGTTTGCTGAGGAGGTCGCATGTTTCGGAGGGGGGGCGGGGATTCAGAGTTCACGGGCCTTTCGCATGTAATATAGGAGCCCTTAATAATTAGAATAGGGTTTGGGGGGGTATATGATACTATAATCATAGTAAAGAACCCACAAAACCCTATTCTAATTATTCAGGCCCCTGCATCAGGGTTATAGGAGGAGGGTCTAGGGTCTTGAAGGTTTGGGGCTCTAGGGGTTCTAGAGTTACAGTAGAAGCCCAAAAGTTGGAAACCCACTAGCCTCCATCCTCACGAGTAACGTATAGGGAATCCCAGCACTAATTGTCCTAAATCCGGTTTCCAACTTTTTTGGGGTTACTATAAGGTTTATGGCAGCTTTGCGCCATCCTGTGTGCTTTGGATTATGGCAGCTTAGGGCTCAGACTACTTAGTCATGGGCGTTCTGAAATGGGAGTTTCCAAAAATTAGGGTACCTTATTTTGGGGTCCTTATATTAAGGATCCTATTATTTAGGGTACTATATTAGGGTCCGCTATTTTCGGTAACTCCCAAATACAGTTGTAGTACAGAGGCCCCCAAAAGAAACCGTGGTTGGATTTTGCTGGCTTCTTCTAGAAGAGCACAGAAAAGGGATGTCAGTTTAGGGCTTCCGTGCTCCACGTGTCCAGGGCCGGGGTTTGGTGGTGGTATAGGTTCGAGGTTATTGTTGGGCGTGGCTTCTGCACAGGACTGCGGTGTTGTTCAAAGTTCGGTATAGGTATTGGATTTTGTGCCAGAGGCTATCCATGAGGCCTTTTTCAACTTGCCGGCCAACTAACACGACTGCCGTCACCCTTCTGAATACCATCCAGAGGTTCGACGGTGGCGCTAGATCTAAGAATTTTTCTTGTTGGCTTACGGACCGTCGTCAGAGCTCACGCGAGGTGCCCCTTGCTGTCATGGGAACGGAGGCGGTCGAAGAGGATGGAGGTGTGTGAGAGAGACAAGGCTCCTTGTGGTTGAGCATGCCATTCTTGTTATTTGGCCGCTTGTGCTGAAGAGACAGCTGCGAGATCCTGGGCATGACGGTCCGCAGCACTCGCCGGACCTGCCGCTGGTAGACACCCAGCCCCTGATCCTCTTGCATCCCCGACGCTGCAGATTCTGTTGCCACATCATCTGGCGCAAGATCATGAACTCCTCCACGCAGCCTGCCTTACAACATTCATCCTCCCCCAACGCCTAGGCCGAAGTACTTACTTGGAGGGTCAGGGGACTTGGTAAGTGGGTAATAAGTAGACTTATACGTACCTTAAAAAGGGATCCTGATTGGGGTTATGATACTTTTAACTCTATAAAATAACTACTTACTAAGTCCCCCGACCTTCCAAGTAGGCGCGAGGACACCAGTACTTCCTGTCCCAAGTAGGGATGGTAAAGGAAATGACTCTCCAAAGTCCCAAAATCGACATGGATGGTTGTCAAAATTATGGTCCCTTTGGGGTACCCTAAATAATAGGTGCCGTATAATGGGGACCCAAAAAGGGACCATAATTTTGACAACCACCCACATGCTGAACCCTGAACTCAGATACTGGCCCAGAACCTTTAATCCCAAAAACCTAAACCCCTAGACCCCCCAGAGAGCGAAACTTCTCTGATCCCTAAGTCTTGACCCACTTAGACCATCAACACCCCTATGAGGCCCACCGAAACTCCATAAAAATCCTGCACAATCATTCAACAAGTCAACAGAAACAGACGACTCCCTATAAAGACTCATCGACTACCCGGCATAAACAGCAAAAGCCCTAGCAGTTACGAAACCAATACCCTAAACCCTAAACGCGAAACCCCCTAAGCCCTAAACCCCTAAACCCTAACCCCAAACCGAACCCCTCCCAATCCTCTCCGCTCTTCTGATCCGAGGTCTCGTAACTTTGGCCACCCTCGCGGCTTCCTGGCCATGCTTGTTTTCCTTTTCCTTTGTTTCAGGATGGTAAAGCGGTTTTAGAGTTTAGGGTTTAGGGTTTATGGTTGCATGGAGAGTATCAGGGCATTGTGAGTTTCAGAATAGGGGTTATGTGACGTATCTTTAGCTTTCGTGCTCAGGTTTCGGATTCTTCCTATATCAGCAGATGTGTTCAGAGCTTCTGGTACCCATGTATGTATGTAGACTTTTCGAGTTGTTAATTTGCTATGTAGCTGTTCTACCTGGTGATTTGCTCAGGTAACCTTCATGTATTTTCAATGTGTATGTATTTACGTTTGGGTGTATGTATGTGTGTATATATATATATATACGCATACCAACCACCCTCCAGCCGTCCATCCATCCATACATCCATCCATCCAGCCAGCCAGCCAGCCAGACGGCCAGCCAGCCAACCAGCCAGCCACCCACCCACTCACCCAGCCACCCAGGCATGCATGTCTGTTTACAAATCGATCTATGTATCTATCTATCTGTCATCTATCTCCCTATCTATCTAACTATCTACCTATCTATCTACCTACCTCTTATCTGCCTATCTATCTATCAACCTATCTACCTATCTGTCTATCTGCCTATCTATCAGCCTATTGATCTACCTTTTTATCTGTCTGTCTGCCTATCTACCTATCTATCTATCTATCTATCTATCTAGCTATCTATCTATCCATCTATCTATCTACCTATCTACCTGTCTATCTATCTGTCAGTCTAATCCATCTATCTATCTATCCATCCATGCATCCATCTATCCGTCCATCCATCTATCTATCTTTCTATCTATCTGTCTATCTATCTATCTATCTATCTATCTATGTATCTATCTATCTAACCTATCTGTCTATTTATTCTATCTATCTATCCATCACGCCGAAGCCATCACGCAAGCAGTGGGAAGACCGCAGGCGCCGATCATCGAACCCGGACATAAAGCCGAAAGACTCGCACGGTAATGTGTTTGAATCCTAAACCCTTACAGTAGAAGCCCAAAAGTTGGAAACTCAATAGCCTCAATCCTTAAGAGTCAGAAATATGGAATCCCAGCACTAATTGTCCTTTATCCTGTTTCCAACTTTTGGGGGGGTTAGTATAGAACTTGACAGACCTCAGAGCGTTCGCGGGATAAGGTGGCTCTGACTAAGTGACTTAGCCGAAGCCCCAAATCAGCCTACATCCTACAACCTATAACTGTATAAGCCCTTGCTTAGAACCTTCCACTCCTGCGCCCTGACTAAACCTCGGAGCCCGAAGCCCTAAACCTTAAACTTTAAACCCTAAACCCTGCACCTCAAACCCTCAAAGCACTCCAAGCAACCCTAAGCCCTGCACCTGATCCCTGAACCCCAGACCTCAAACCCTAAAGCGTAAAAAACAAATTCGAAGCAAGACTGGGCGAGGTCTTGGGTTGCCGGCCGTCACATGGCGCAGAGACTTCAGAGGCTGCCCCAACTCCTAAACCTAAACCTTTGGCGCCTTTGGATTTGGATGGGCTCCCTAAGCCCTAAACCCTAAACCCCTGTACCCTAAAACCCGACCAGTTCTCCATCTCCAAGCCCTGAATCCATCATACGAAGCCCATACACGAGGCACCCCCGTCGTCTCTACAGCCTAGAGTGAATCCCGGAAAGTTGGGTTTAGGGTTTAGGGTTTGGGGGTTTGGAGGTTAAGGGTTTAGGGTTTGGGGGTTTGGAGTTTTAGGGTTTAGGGTTTGGGGGTTTAGGGTTTTGGAACATGGGTTTAGGATGATGAGTGCTGGGAGTTCCTCTACTCTTCTTGAAGGGCATGAGGAGAATGATGTTCCAACTTTCTGGCTTCTACTGTAAGCCTGAACTCCGAAACCCTCACACGTTTTGAGTTAAGACCAGTCCTTCCCTTATGGCAGGGACGGGGTTTAGGGGGTTACTGGTGCATTGATTCAGTTGGTTGGACTCTTTAACCCATTGCTATTAAACCTGGCAAACTCTGCCAATGCCCGATGAAAACCTTGCAACGACGCTTGAAGGGAGCGAGTCCCTCTGGCAACCTCTTATGCTGAACAAACCTGAACCCTAAGCCCTGCAGCCCTTACCGTTTTAGGGTTTAGGGTTTAGGGTACTTGAAATCTCATAACACCCTTAAACAGCAACGAAAGGTTCTCTTAGAAACGAGAGAAGCAACCAAGGCACCCTACGTCGCCTTCATCCCTTACACCCTAAACCCTAAACCCTAAACCCTAAACCCTAAACCCTAAACCCTAAACCCTAAACCCTAGGCCAAGAAACCCGGAAACCACCGAAAGCCCTAGGGCAAGAAGCAAGACCAACCACCATGCCCTGGGGTTTAGGGTTCGGTGTTTAGGGCTTTAGGGTGGTTTTAGGGTTTAGTGTGTAGGTTTTGTGTAAGTCTAGCTTAAGATACCCTGTTCCGTTAATAAAGGCCCTCTATGATATGAGTAGTTGTCTAAGTTAGGGTATACGGGTGCCGTGCTATATTGGGGACAAAAACTGAACCTAGTTTAGAGAACTACCCAGACTAGAAAAACCTCCAAAAAAATTGACGCCTAGGCTCTTTATTATAAGTTTTGCATATTCTTGCATAACATACACCACCCACACCTTTCCGGACTGGAAATTATAATAACCCTTGTAGTAACCCCTTGTAGTGACCCCATTATAGTAACCCTACGATCATAACCCCTACTTGGAGGGTCGGGGGACATAGTAAGTCGTTATTTCACAGAGTTATAAGTACCCTAACCCCAATTAGGATCCCTATTAGGGTACTTATAAGTCTACTTATTGCCCACTTACTAAGTCCCCCGACTCTCCAAGTAATTTCAGGGCAACGGGGCTGCTCGGGTCGTGCCGTGGCTTCTGGTGATGGCGGTAGCAGCCCGGGAGGCCAGGTTTCAGGGTTTTGGATTCAGGGTTCAGGGTGCAGGGTTCAGGGACTTAGGGTTTAGGGGTTTAGGGCCTAAGTTTAGGGTTTAGGGTGCAGGGTTTAGTGACTTTGGGTTTAGGGGCTTTGGGGCTTTGGGTTTAGGATTTGTAGTTACAGGGTTCTAGGCTTTGTTGAAGAGTTGTTTTCTGACGTTGGGGGGGGGGAGGATTTTGCATTGTCAGGAGGGCTTTAGGCAGGATTTTCAAGCCGAATCACCTAGGTTTCAGGGTTTCGGCTTCAGGACTGTTGAGTTTGAGTAGTAGGCTTTAGGGTGAGGTGTTAAAGGCTGTCGGTCTCGGAGGGAGGCATTGGCTACTAGCGTCAGGATCCAAAGACCGCCGCTGAGACGCATTCCGTCAACTGCCCCAAGATTTGGGGTTTCCGACAGGAACAGGAGTGTAATATAGAAGCCTACATAATTACCTATACTATTTTTTGGGGGGGGGTTCCTTATTGTAACTGTAGTATAATATACCCCAGAACCCTATTCTAAGTATTGAGGCCTCTAGATTAGGGGCCTGAATCCCGCTAGAGGTATACGATGATTCAGCCCAGAACCCTGTTCTATATATATATATATCAATGATTGAGGCCTCTATGCTGTTTAGCTATAGTAGGGCCCTGAAATCGTCAGATGCCTATACTTGGAGTGTTTTTGTTCCTGAAGTATCCAGTTTGTTGGGCGTGGGCATCAATGTCAGGGGCCAAGTACCTACTACTGTTGCTGGTATAATTCCTGTAGTACCTTAAGGACCCTAAACTACGGGAAATTATGGTATAGTCCATATCTATGGGCAATGCAGGATTTATATCATCAGCCGTAGCGATATCAACCTAAACCCGCGCATATGAGTAAATCCTAAACCCTAAACCCTGAACTCTAAACCCTAAACCCTAAACCCTAAACCCTAAACCCTAAACCCTGAACTCTAAACCCTAAACCCTAAACCCTAACCTTAACCCTAAGCTGCTGAACCTCTAGAGCCCCAAGCCACCGAGCTGTCTGGGGGCACTAAGCCGTGTCGGTTCAGTGAAGGGCGTTTAGATGTTTAGGCTTCAGGTTTTAGGGTTTAGGGTTCAGGTTTCAGGGTTGACGGTTTAGGATGGTTTGGGGTTCAGTGTTCCGGTTTTAGGGTTCAGGGTTTAGGGTTCAGGATTTAGGGGTTAGGGTTTAGGGTTCAAGGTTGTGGGTTTAGGGTTCGCGGGACAAAGCCGGATTCCGAAGCCTTCCGATCTTTTGCTCTACCAGGCAAACACAAGCCCAAGCCTAAGCCAACAATCGATTTTTTGGGGCATCGCAGGAGAAAGGTAGTATAGGGGCCTTAATAATTAGAACAGGGTTTTGGGGCCATTATACCATAATGATAGTAAGGAACCCCCAAGATAATATAGGCAATTGTCAAGGCCCCTATAGTAGAAATGGACTTGCAAACTATATCTTGTCGGTGCCACGCTGTTTCTGGGTCTTTATGGGTTGCAGCACCCTTGTGCCACAGGTGATGCTCTACACTCGCTGGAACATGTGCTCGGGCGTGAACAGAGGGTTCGGAGTGCAGAGGTTTAGGGTTTTAGGGTTTAGGTTTTAGGGTTTAGGGTTTAGGGTTTAGGGTTTCGGAGTGCAGAGATTATTGGTCGTAAACAGACCCTGGACCCAACCCTGTACGGGGATGAATCAAACAGGTTTGATTCGTGGCCAAAAAGGCAACCCTGTCTGCAATCTTTACTCATAACTTGGAGGGTCGGGAGACTTAGAAAGTAGGTAATAAGTAGACTTATAAGTACCCTAAAAGGGACCCTAATTGGAGTTATAGTACTTATAAGTCTATAAAATATCCATTTACTAAGTCCCCCGACCCTCCAAGAAATCTATCCGATTCGATATAGTGAGAGGTATCCATGAGAGTTATTTGGCCTGGGCATTCATCAACTAGTGTTTATGTATGTTTGGGGGTTAGGCCCGACCTAGACCCCAAAACCCTAAAACCGCCAAGCCCGAAACCCTAACAGCCAATCTGCAAAACCCTGAACCCCAAACCCCAAATC